CATCCAAAGGACGCCCGGGCAATCTGGCATCAAATTCAGCACTCCGCCAGAACTCCGCCAGGGTAAAGACCACTTTCATAACAGGCTGTAACTCTACCAATATTGGCGCCGGGTAGACGTCTGAGGTACCGTTGGAAAGCTGGCGTCGCGTAGAATCAGGGCGCCGAGTATCGGATTCTGCACCCACTGGACTCCCCGGAAATCTGGCGTCAAAGTCAGCACTCCGCCACGGTAAAGAACACTTTCATAACAGGCGGTAGCTCTACCAATATTGGTGCCAGGTAGACGTCCGAGGTACTGTTGGAAAGCTGGCGTCGCTTATAACCAGACCCCTGAGTATGGGATGCTGCGCCGCAAGGTCACCCGCGGAATCCCGCGTCAAAGTCAGCACTTAACTAGAAGCTCGCTAACTTGGCAAAGAAGGTCCGGTAAACAAATAAGTCCAGAATGTAGGGGAGCTGGTAGGCTGGGAGCCAGTAGGGGTGGAGCCAGTAGGTCGGGAGATGGTAGGGGGGGAGCCGGTAGGGCGGGAGCTGGTAGGGAGGAGGCGGTAGCAGGGTGGTAAAGGGGCAGTGGCTGGCAGCTGTGTTCATCACTCGGAATCTCAGGATGGTAACTACTAGTAGTCGGCATCACTTACTTAGGATTTAAACTGAATGTGGCCCTTCCTAGTAGGATCAGCACTAGGACGCAACGTGACTTGGCGCCCAACTACCAGACGCACAGGACGCAACCTGACTTGGCGCCCAACTACCAGACGCACAGGACGCAACTAGACCTGGCGCCCGAGTACCAGACGCACAGGACTCACAGGATGTAGAATTCTTTCTACAAGCGTCAGGACGCACTGCCCGCGCACCTGACGCAGGAATAATTTTTGCTGATGTAAAGAACCATCTGGATTCTTTACAAACAAGACTGGTAATGCTGCAGATGAGGAGCTTACTCGAATGAATCCACGATGAAGATTTTCTTCGATATAAGACTTCAGGACCTTAAGCTCCTCTCGTGACATATTATACAGAGGTCCAAACGGTGGTTTTGCTCCATCCAATAGTTCAATCCTCAAGTCTGCCATGCGATGAGGCGCTAGTATTTTGGCATGTTCTTTTTCAAACATTGGATAATACTGTGAGTACTCTGCTGGTATCTTGGACTTCTAATCTTGTCCCTCCTCAGCTTTCTGTACCAGAAGGTCTTCAATTTAGAGTACAGAGATGGCAAAAACCCAGCTGCCTGCCTCTCGTACAGAGCTATGGAAGCTCCGAGCACTGACTGTATATATCTTTGGAGATGTAAGTAAACCTGGGACAACTATGGGTGTTGTTATATTGTTGCACATAGCACGGCAAAAGGGAGACTTAAACTCCAACTTATTTTCTCCAAAATGAATAACAACATCATGCCGCCGCATCCAAGGAAGTCCCAGCACAAGGGGATATTGGCCTAACTTGGTAACAAAGAAAAAGGCCTTTTCATGATGACCATCAATCACGAGATCAAGTTTGGTAGTATGTGTAACTAAACCAGAGGCGATAGGGCAGCCATCAATAACATCTAAATGCCGTGGTATACGAGGAGGAATGAGAGGAAAGTTATTGCGGCTCGCAAATTCTGAATCGATAAAGGCAAATCCGGAAGTACCAGTATCAATAAGGGCTGTTGATGAGATTGTGTTACTTTTATTTGTAAGAGTACATGGTATAACAAGATGTATGCTAGACACTTTCTCTGGACTTATTGATACAGAAGATGTACAGAAGGAAGATAGAGATTCAGAATAAGACAATCCCTGATCTGGGCCACTCAGGCCAGGGACGGAGGAAAATCCGAGGACAGATCTGTTGGCATGCCAGAATTGGAGACCGCGGAACCAGGAGGTGATAATAGGGCAGCTTGAACGCAGAACTGAGTGTTTGTTTTAGGAGGTATTCGTGATCTGGTTTGGCCAACACGGGCTTTAAGAGTGCAAGCCATTTGTCTATGCTCTCCAGCACAATAGTCACAGCGACCAGTAGCTCGATGCCAGGCCTTTTCTGCGGCTGATACATGACGTCGTCCCTGAGTATCAGCTTCATATCGAAGAGGCGGAGCAGGACGAGCGATATTTCCGGGGCTAGAAGCTGGCTGAAAGCTCCCGTATGACAAGTCCATGGCATCAGGATCAACAGGGTATGGAGTTGGATGAGGACGTGTCACTCCCAATGGGGAATTGGTCGCAGCGTAGATTCCGTATTTCTGTGCTTCCAGTTGTCGAATACGATTGTCAAGCTGCAGAAGCGTCGTACACCATACATGATAGTTTTGTGTCGTTGGAGCAGGTCGAATGTTGTAAACCAGACCTTCCCGCAATTTTGCTGACATTCCAGTCTCCAAGGCATCCATTTTTGCTGCAACATCATAGTTGAGTACTGCCATAATACGTGTAAACTCACTCAAGTAGGCAGAGAAATCCATCTTGCCCTGTCGAAGTTTGGAGAGCTCCATTCGTGCTGTACCCGTAGGATTAGGATCTCCAAAAGAGGTTTGAAGACGTTGGATCAAAGTACCAGTAGAGACAAAGTCAATAATGATTTGAGGTATGTCACTGCCGGGAACAGGAACTTGTCGAATAGCGGAACGCAAGTTACGCAATGCATCACCGTCAAGTCTGGAGATACAGTATGCAACCTTGGAGGTTTCATCAGGCCAGTGGTCTGAATTGGCTTGGAGTTTGAGCTGTAGTTGAGCCAAAAAGTTTGGCAACTCGCTTCGTTTTCCAGAAAACTTGTCCGGATCAGCCAGTTTTGCTGAACGGTGACTTGCGGTACTCAGAGGTAGAGCAAAGGGATTTGAATTTGTTGAGATGGGGGCCAGAGGAGTCTCAGCCCTCTGAGATGCTAATATTCCCATTTGTGCTTGCAGAGTGGTATTGACATCAGTCAAACACAGGACTTCAAGTTTGCTTGCCTCCAACTCTCACTCTGCTGCTAACATCCGATCGACATTGGCATGTAAGGCCTTCAAGGCGGCGGCAGGATTGGATGTAATAGCATTTCGTAGTGTATGCACATTTTGAAGCGCAGCACCATACTGTGTGCCTCCAGTGGACTCAGGAGAACGACTGGAATCAGAGGGGTCCATGAGTGGGGTAGGAGTGAGCAGTGCAAATTTCGATGCAACGTAATCTCACGGATCTCCACAGTCGGACAGGGTCCAAACAGTACTAGTTTGGAGGAGGTGGGGGGTGGTGATTGATAAGATGGTAAGAAGAACTTTGCAGGGCTCACTGAAGAGGAATAGGTAAAAGATAAGTAGCTTTCTAGAATAACAGGAAGCTAAGCAGAATAGAAAAGAAAGCTGTTATAACAAGATTGAGGTATTAATATTTGGAAAAGACGTTGCGTGAGGAAGAAGGAAAAAGACCAAACAACTCCCCTCTTAGCCTTCTCATAACATAGAGGCCAAGAGATCAAACAAGCTTTCAAAGAGAATTAAGCCCTAACAGAGCTAACAACCATAGGGTAAGAACAGAACCCAACATCGTGATATTAGTTTGATATACCATATCCTTGAAAACTAAAAGAAATAAACTTGAAACTGTGAAACTGAGCCTGAGTCTTTTTGTTCACCGATTCTTAATTGGTGTGACCGGGGTCTTTTCCTCGGCCATGTTGCTACCAACTCATTCCTGTTTGACTCGATCCTCTGCTGTAGCCGGCGGTGGTCAGGTGAACTTTTGATCTCTCAGAAATGGGGGAGTTACATTTCAAAATTGAGGGGAGATATTTCAACTACTCTGGGACTCCGACAGCTGCATTCTGGGATGGACAAGAGCGACCTATTTTCTTTTCCTAGTTTTCTGTTTAAATCAGTGCACTTATGTGTTTTCTCATCTCTATTATCACCGTTCCCAACTTTCTTCCACTTCTATCCCATCTTTTTGAGAATCTTCTAATGCCGGAAATCTGATTCTACTCCTGAGTGCACAGCGGCATAAGAGGCGGGGGTGATATGCCTAAACAGCAAACCCCATCAACATATATATACGAGTGATTATCTAAAACCCTCGGGGGACAACGACTTACTACCTAGGAATACATTAAAAAAAATGATAGCACTATGGAAAGTGCCATCCACCTCTAGGGGAGCGGTCAGGTGGGGAGGAACGGGTTATTAATGGGACCAAATATTGTGGTAGTATCTCGCATACTAAAATGGTGGTTTTGATGGCCCTGGAAAGTATGGTAGAAGGAAGGATGGTAGGCATGTAGAATCAAAGTTAAACCAGCAAGAAATGCCCAGCGGGAATAAGGAAGCGTCACTGTGGGAATGAGTGTTGGTCTTGGTTATAATTTTTCAGATGGTCGAGGCAACGGGGCTGTGGTGGAATCCAACGCCCACAACTACAGAAGCGCTTAAATTAGCAGTGCGCTCTATCTATTCGGGTAAAGGCTGGACTTTGTGTGGACTTTTGATAGAAAAAAACAGCATTTTCTAAATTCAGTTGGTGCTCTACGCATCGATTGGAGTCTGGTAGGCTGCCCGATTCCCTCACTTACCCCTCTACCAGCAGGTTGAATACAGGCGCGATACACGAAAAGCGCCTGATCCCCCTCTGGTCTGATCTTAGCTCCCCTTCTATTGTTAAGGATGCGGGGAATATGATTCCGGACTGCTACCGAAATTATTTGGCAGGTGGGTTTTTGAATATGCTGTAGGAACTCGACTTGATTGCTGCTGAAGCGAAGTCGGGTATGGGTCCTGTTTATATATCTCCTACCGCGGACTCTCCATGTTCATTCTGGTTTACTCGACACGCCACTAAATCCGCCATCCGATATATATCTAAGGATGCTCCAGCAGAACAAACGTCTGGAGTACCGGGTAATCAGAGGCAGTGGTGTTTCTCAACCGGAATAAAGGGTGTTTCTGTCTATTCCGCCAATGCGGGAAAATCTCGCGAATTGCACTACCCCTGGCTCTATGTAATCTCCGGGTTTAGTCTAAAACCTCCCAATATAGATTATTGGTTCTCTGACAGCATAGGATCAGTCCCCGTGAAGCGGCGGGTCTCTTTAACACGTATTCGCTATCTGTCACCTTCTCCAGCAAAACATAACCTGGCCAGCCCAAAGTTTTGGACTCCGCGAGATTTCACTGTACTAGCTCTTTTTTTTTTTTTTCGAAATTCTGCCGATTCCGCGGATCCCGCGAAACGACCCCAGATCTTAGGTAAGGTCTCTCCCAGCGACCTACTTCCCCCACCCCAATCCCAGATTACTCCACAGGCGAAGCCTCCCACCGCCCCATTGTGCTTGGGTAATAAAATCAGTATAGGTTGTCCCGCCAAGATCTCCCAATAATGCTTTGAGACAGTCGTCTTGCTCCGGTCAGTGGGATTTTAGGTCACAAAAAAACCAAGTTTGAAATCGGGACGGGTTCTCTAGACGACCCCTGGATTTTTCTAAAGCCTGCGCTATCATCACCTCTCGGCTAAGATTCGCAAGAGTAGGGAATGCAGTAACTTTAACTTTTGTACAATTGGCTAACCGCCTCCCAGACTTCCCTGCGCTATTGAACAATACCGGTGCCGCATTCACTGATTGAACCCATGGTACGACGTCCAACACACTCCCACTCGTACACATAGGGTGGGACTCTTGAGAAAACCGATCCCTGAAAACTATCCCTTAGCCTCACCTTTGGTCTGATCAAAAGGAAAAAACAAAAAGTGCAACAGCGAACCGTACTGGGGGAGGTAGCGGCAACCTCCCAACTAATAAAATGCGTCTTTCGAGTCGCTGTTGCAGTAGCTATTGACATGGAGATAGCGGTATCAGTTACTTTAAGTTTGTATTTCGAGCTTCGCTTGAAGACTCTAAACTAAAGGAGATCTCCGTATTTACGGACCGGGTACTAAATCGGCCTGGGGTAAACAATGTAACTCATCCCATCCCAAGGCAGTATATCAGGAAAGTGAAGAAAGCTACTTAGTGGCATATGACCGTATTTTAACATCTGCCCTCCAGAAGGGTTAGCATTTGCCCAATATACCTGGATGCGGGATCTGCCCGCTGGGTCTATTCGATCTCGCTAGCGGGTATCCGCAATTATCTTACCTATCCAGCTAGATATATAGTGGGATGAGGGGGTGGCGGGGAAATCATGAGACTTTACAGTGCCGGTATGATACCTAAGAGGGGGAGCTTTGGGCATCATGGCATGGGGTTTAGTTATCCCCATGGTGACTTTATTGCGCATATGAGGCCAAGGGTGTAGAGAGCGTAGCCGGCGAGTTGGTCCCCAATTGTGCGCAAAAGTCGCTGCACCTCCGGACCTTCCCAATGCAAACCGAGGGGGGTAAGTTATGACACCGGTAGCTCAGGCTTTGGGAAACCCGGGGGCCATTTTACTTGCCCGGATGCGCATCTCGAAGGGCGCGGTCAGTAATCTGAAATCGCGTGTTAAATCCAGCCAGTAGCATCACAACGTTCTCAAAATATGATAACAAGGTTGTGCTGAGACAACCCGTACCTTATTCGCTCCAAGGCGGTGGTGGGGGTTTTTCTCTGGCCGGGGATTGGGATGGGGGGAGGCGTGTCGCCCCAGAGCTTTGTCCAGGAACCCGTCTAGGATCGATCACCGTGTCCGGGGAAGCAGCGAAGAAACTATCGAAGAGTAATAATCAATTCCGACCGT